AATTCCAATGGTAATGCAAGGTAATGGTCTTCCCAGGGTTTGTGATGGTTCCTGGACCTCCTCCTCCTCCTCCCTCCTCCTCCCCTGCGATTCCTACTCCCCTCCCCATCCCCTTGATTAGTGCCGCTGTTTACCTGTGCCAGCGAGGCTGGCTACGTGTACAGGTTTCTGGAACGAATCTATAAACTGAGATCGCACGCTGACTGTCTGAATGTCTGACTGGCTGACTGTGTTTTCCGCTTTCCTACGGCGTACAGATGGAATTCCCAACGCACAATTTGCGCTTTTCCCCGCCTCGCTTTTGTTCTTACGCCCACGTTCAGTCGCATCTGCCGGTCGTCCGAATTGGTATTTGCAAACACGTTTTTGGCTCGGGAAAATGAAATTTAAATGCCGTCAAAAGCGGAAAAGATTGAGTCGAGAAAGGCGGGCCCGTGGGCAACATTCTCATGCCGATTAGAAAGTCGTGCTCCGAAATGCGGGTGCAGCGTTACCAAAAGGTGTTTACGAGTTGCCGCTGAACTTGAAAACCGCCAAAGAACTTGAAACACGAGACGACAGTTGGAAAGGGCTTTTAACGACGCCCTTCAACTGCGGCCACAGGCTATTAATCAAGGCAGCACGAATCGCATCCGTTGCACCACTGCGACACTATCGAACCACCGAGCCATCGAGCCATCGAACCACTCAAATTTACAGCCCACGGCGCTGCATATAAATACTGCTTAAGGTAAACAGACAAAGCCCAGACAGACACATTAATTTCAAGTCTTTCGCCCATTCTCAACGTTGTTAAGAATCAAAAATTGAAAAGCGCTGTGCTTCAAATCCGAGGCGAGCGATCCTCTTCCAATCTCCGAAGTTCGAACACATCGATGGGTTTCGTTTGGGACTGGGGTTGGGGCTTTCGGTTGGTGCTTCGGGTGGGGGGAAGTGGGCCTGAAGTGGGGGCAATCAACAATGGAGCGTTGGGGCTGAGTCGTCGGACGCATAGCTTAAAGTTCAATGACTGAAAAGGTGCGTTGCTGTTCTGTTCTGCGGTTGTCGTTGATGTTGCTTCTGTTGTTGCTGCAGTTTAAGTTGTTGTTGCTCTTGGAGTTGCTGCGGTTGCATAGGAATCCATCAGCAGGCAACTTTGACTCGGACCCCATTTATATTGGCCATTTGCTTTTGCTTCTGCCTTTGGTCTTGGTCTTGGTTTTGGTTTTGGTTCTGTGCGCCTCGCTAGGCGAACGTGCAAAAATGCGGCATAGGCGGCCTAAGCGATCGGCAATCAATCTGCAGATTCCAGACGCAACTGCAACTCGTTGCTGCTGCCGCCGCCAATATTGCTGCTGCCACTCGAGGAGGCATGCAACAAGCAATTTCTTGCAAGAATCTCCTTCTGCCGTTGAACTTGTGGCCTTAAGTGGCTGCTACACTTGCGGCCAAGATGGTTAAACAAGCTGGCCAAGAGTGTTAGCTAAGCGCAAATGCAGCAAGTATTTGCGGCTAGAGCATTGTAAAAATAATCAGGGAAAGAAGATTTTGCATTTAGGGGATACGATTTAGTGATACCTATTAAGCCACAGTAACTTTAAGTTAATAAAATTATAAAAAGAATAAATTGGAAAAGAATAAATTGGAACTAGATCTTTGCTATACTCTTTTTAAATTTTCTTGGATATTATTTTTTGGGGCTCAGACTTGCACCCAAGCCTCTCAAGTTCAGGGCCTGGATTGCGCCTGCAATCGGGACTCAGACTCTTATCGGGCCTGGAACGAGACTCCTTCCTCCTCGCCGCTGTTTACATGCACACGATGACAGACGCGTCTATTTATCTGTATCTGGTTGGCTGGACTGGTTGTTTGGTTGGTTTACATTTCGGTTTTGCGCTTCAAGTGAGAGAAAAATGTTGGGAAAATAAACAAGAGGAGCCAGCCAGAATTCCAGACGCAGCAAAAGCAAAACCAACCGCACGACTGGAGTGGATTGGCCCCAAAAAAAAGGGGGGCCCTGGGCAAACTTTGGCTGCAACAATCAAATGCTCATCAGCGCACTTGAAAAGTAATGCGTTGCTGGTTAAGACAAAAAACAAAAAAAAAGTACGCGCTCTCGCAGAGACACAAAGATACAGATACTGTATCTGCGTACCAGTATGTATCTTTTTTTGGGCTGTGTAGACGAGGCATTTTCATAGCTGGCTGTATTTTTCGTTGGCTTGTTTGTTTAGTTTTCGAGGCAGCGGCACTCACACACACGCACACACACACACACGAACACGCAATGCTGCAGGTGGGAACAGGTTTTTCGGTCTCGGTTTTTCGTGTATCTCTGGGATGCGGGCATCGTATCTGTTGGCCTCGCGTTATTTATGCCCCACTGTGGCTGTAATTACAAATTTTAGTTTCCTGCAGAAAACAATCCACGACCATGTGTGCCTTCTGACTGGGCATCTATGTAGTAACTCGGTATCTCCGGGATGCCCACGCACATGTGTCCTCCGAACGGGGATCAAGTTCCCATCGAGTGACCAAAGTGGGCAAGTGCGTAAGTGGACAGCGGTGCCTCAAAGGGCCTCCTCTTTTGCGAAAAGCGCCTGCTGCGCCCAAACATTTCGCCGGCTTTTCAACATGCCACTCACGTAGTCTGGCCGCTGCAACATGTTGCCCGCCAGTATGGCCTGTATGGATCGATTGACAGATATTCGTAGTTCATAGCTAGTTGGCCATGGTTACCCGTAGGCCCGCAGCAGAACGGTAACAGCCGGAGAACGAATGGGAATTACCCTCGACAACTGCTCCGCACGCTTGGCTGCACTTCTCCACTTTCCACCCAGAAAATAACCACTTCGCCGAGTGGCCATGGTGGTGGTGGTTAGCAGTTAGCAGTTGCCACAAATGGCGCGATGTAATGGCATTTCTAATATGGGCACATTAATGGCCCTGGGGCAAAGGCACAGGTGAGGGGCACCAGGAGTTGAGAGGCAGTTGCAAATTTCAAAATTAACAGCACACAATAAAGGTGAAAATAATAGCTGTGCCAGCGGTTCTTTCTCGCCCTGACAATGACTATAGAATATGTAACGTTTTAGTCAGCATAAATTGGCTTGAATTTTATTTACCTCTACTATATTGTGATTCAAGTTCTATTTTTGTAGCTCTATAGAAATTTCAAGCGCTTAGAATAATTTTATCATTTCTGGCCGGGGTATTAACGGATACTAATAAAAATGAATAAACGTATACAAAAATGATTGGCTAAAGAAAAGCCCAACCTTAATGGTTTCCAAACATAGTTTTGGTTACGAATATTAGAATTTGATTGTAGATCTTAAGGTAATCTTTATCATTATCATATAATAAAAGATACTATTGAATTCAGTTATCATAACACTCTGAATAGCAACACTGTCTAAAACTCCATGCACTACGAAATTTGTGGCATTGCTTCCAAATAAAGCTCAATTTAAAACAAATAAAAATGAAGCAATAAATTTTCCAATTTAGTGAACACGGTTCCCGTGCTATAATTTTGCCCCCAGCTGTGGAAGCCCGTGTGTGCTGCTCTTGTTTTTCCTGGGCTTCATACCTGAGCAATTAGTGCGACTTTTCGATTGCGCATGCAGTAGCCCAAAGAGCAGCAGCTGCTGTTCGGCTGTTTCTGCTGTTTTTGCTCTTGGGCAGCTGACAAGGAGCCAGAAGACGAGGGGGGAAGGGAAGCGTCGTAAACAAAGTGAGCTCTTGCAAAATGACAGCTGACAATGGCTTGCCACGTTTCGCCCCTCGCTATGAAAAGCCAGCAGCTAAGTGCACAATTATAATGGCCGCAATATCTGCGCGAAAAAACTGTAGTCAGCGTCGCCGGTCTGCCGACGAGATTTCATAAAGTTATTGAACGTTTTCAAGCGAAAAATAAAAATTCGGATTGCAAGCAAAAAACGATAAAGTGCCAAGCAAAGCAAATGGCAAAATACGGATAAGCGAGAATAAGAAATCGTTTTAGGCATATCCAGCAGTTTGACAGGCACTGTGGATAACCTGTTGCTGTTGCAACTTCCACAACTGCAGCACTTGCCTCATAAATGGCCATTCGTGTTGGCCGGTATTTAACACAAGGTCGCGAAAACAATGAGCCAAACGACTTTAGCCGCTTATCTAAGTGCTCGAAGCCCCGACTTCGCAGTGGAGTAATTGTAGAAGGCTCCGCTGGACGCGACCAAGAAGCTAATTGTGTGAGCAGGCCACCCAGCCCCACCCACACATCCACCTTGGAATAATTGCAGGAGGGTCGTGGGAGGAGCACAACTGCGGAGGCGACAAAGTAAACAAGGTGTTAATTTCCACTGCTTCAGTGTTTCCTCGTTTTCTTTTCACGGATTGCTCTACAAAATTAATAAGGCAAGGGTATGGCGAATTATAGTCAAGTTTGCCATGACAAAATGCTATTACAATTAAGCTAAGTGCGTGGCTAATAAATGAATATTTTATGATAAATAAATATGTTTGCGTGTATGCAATTAGGAAAAAACAAATGTTACTTATATGTTTTAATTAAGCTGAAGAATATTATATTAACAATTTTAAATAAATACAGTACTATAGTACTGTAAACCTTGAGAGTTTTGGGAACCATTTGAAAGTTCAGCAAAGCCCATGTAAAAATGTCTTTCTATCGAAACCCCGTGAAATGTAAGGGTATTTCTCGCCCTACCATTGCATCTCCCACTTGTTATTTATTTTTCTGCTCTCCCCTTTTGCGCCTTTGCAAATTGAATTCCCCGCGTGTTGCGAAAGCAGATAAGATTGGAGCACGTTCTCCGGCAAACAGCCACCCACACAGAAGCGCTTCCCCGCATACAAAAGGCGGCAGATGACAGGCGATAAGCCGCCAGTGATAACGCACTTGACTTTGCCGAGAATCGTGTGCTGAATTTAGTAGAGCTCCCACTTACTACACTTGCTAACTATGGATTATGGATTGTGGCTCGAAGCCAGACAAGATGAATGGATCTACTTACGAACTGTGACCGTTTTCGGATCGAAGGCACAGACGCGTCGCTCCACGGCGACAATCTTCCGCTGCACCCGCCCCGCCCGCTCGCCCACCGCCTGCAGATCCCGCTGCAGGTCGTCGAAGATGTCGCTGGCGATCAGGACCAGGCTGGCCAACTGCCGCAGGGCGTTGCTCAGAGTGATGTTGCTGATCGAGTCGAACTCGTGGCCGGAGATGACCTTCGAGGAGCCGGCGGTGGGCGACTGGGGGGCACTGGCGATCCTGGCTAGCGCTGGCCGCTGCTGGCTGGGATGCCGCGAGTTGGGCAGGGATTGCGATTGGTGGCGAGTGGGCGAGGTGGAGAGGAACTCGACGTGCTGCTTCAGCTTCTTCATGGGCGCCGGCGCGGGCGGCACGGGCTGCTCATCCTCCTGACCCGCCGCCTGGTGGACCAGGACCCGCGTCAGCGAGGTGGGCGATCCATGGCCATTGAGCACCTCCCCGACCTCCGGCGACTGCTTGTTGATGCAGTTGTTGTTCCGGCACTTGCCCGGCGTACAGTGGAATCGGCCGGAGGCGTGGCCCAAACTGGCCGCCGTCGCCTGGGCCACATTGACGGGCTGCACCACGCGCTGGACGAAGGGCATCTCTCGCTGGGAATCGCTCTGCTGGTCACTACCTGCTCCTCCTCATTCGCTCCGTTTTCCCAAGACACCGACGTCACCGAAACAAAAAAACCAAAGGTAATCCAAATAAGCCAAACACACACACGCACACAGAGGCCCGAAAAAACTGGTCGGACAACTTCTGGACTTGAATCCTCCGCAGTTACAGCCTCCTTTGCTATTGTCTGTTTTCGGCCAAATTCCTTGGCCTTTTCACACGCACTCACAAACTAGTTTAATTTAACTGGTTTATTGGGCCCCCTTTTAATTATTTCTTTCTTTTTTCTGGCTAGTTCTCAGCCTCGCATAATTGGCACGCCGCGCTCGAATTGCCCGTGATTATGGCGATTTTATGGCCCGGCCACCGTTACGCGTCGTTCGAAAGGTGTGTTAGCCGGCAAAAAGGCCGACGGTCCGCGCTCACGTCCTCTTGTTTCGCCGGTTTCAAAAAAACTGTCAGTGTGCCCAGTTAGAGGTGGAGGCAACTTCGATGACAAAAACGGTGAGTTAGGGCTGCACAATAATCATCCTCTTAAACGATAATATCGATTTTTCGACATAGCGAAGACACATACCATAGTTATCGATAGTCACAGCGTTGCCATACCTCTCAAGACAGCCCTAGCCGAAAAGGGTCACACCTCTGTGGAAAAAATAAATAAAACTTCAATTTATTCAATTCCACGCTAACTTAAATAAAATAGTACAATGCCAAAGTACTATTGCGATTACTGTGACACCTACTTGACCCACGACTCGCCCTCCGTACGGAAAACCCACTGCACCGGTCGCAAGCACCGCGACAATGTAAAGTTCTACTACCAAAAGTGGATGGAGGAGCAGGCACAGCATTTGATTGACGCCACCACTGCCGCCTTCAAAGCCGGAAAGATTACGAACAATCCGTTCGCGGGTGGGCCAGGAGCGGCGCCTCCGAAGCCGGCGGGTGTGTCCATCCCGCCGCCCAATATGGGTGCTCCTCCACGTCCGGGAATGCCAGGAATGCCCTACATGCCGCCTCTAATGAATCCAATGATGGGCATGCGTCCACCACCGATTATGAATCCCATGGCCATGATGGGACCACCACCTCCGCTCGGCACAATTCCCGGCGTCCGACCGCCGATCATGAATGGACCCAAGTGACGGCACAATGAATCACGATCAGATACAGGATCACTAAGGGAACGCACCTCGTGAGGTGTCCTAATTAAGCTGTAGCAGTTAAGTAAGCCCATTAGCAAACCAAACTATGGAAATTTATATAAAACAAATTTACTCAACAGATGGCATTTTTTTTTAATTTGGCAGGGGATTTTTAAAAATAAAGTATTTTCAAAACAAAAAATAAATTTAACAGAAATTATTTATTTCGAGAAATGGTTTCTTATAAAAGTTGTTTACTACAATTTGTAACTCTTGATAACAGAAATATAGGCATAGTGCGAATTTAAACCAAAACCTTTTAAAATTTGGAAGAGACAACTGTCCAATATAAAATGCTCTGACAAATGCTTCTTTCTTGCTAAATGAAATGCTTTAAGAAATTGACAGTTATTTAAACAGATGTATGTATGTATGGGACACATAAGTACTCACAGTTTTTATTACAATTTTAGAGCTTACAAACTAGGTAGTGTGAAGAGAATATAATGTGGATTATAATTGTTAAAATACGAATGCGTTAATCAGGGGCTAAAATAGTTAATGGATTATTCTTTGCCTTTGTCCCGCGATCGGCTCGTCTGCGCCTCTTATATTATATTTAGTCTGTACTACACACAATTAGGTACTAAATTGGTTAAGCGTTTCTGCATTGTGGTCCTCACTGGTTATCTGGTGACGCGTTGGCGCTTGCTGGGCGAGACCATCACCGGAGACGGCTGGTGGTTACTTGAGATAGCGTCAAAAATGCTCGACTCCGAGCGCTGGTACTCGCTGCCAATGTTCTCCAGGTTCAGATCGGCATCGAGGACGAGGACCTAGTAATATGCATTTTAGGCATGTTGTAAAACTATTTGTGCTGTGTCTGTAGCTACCTTGCACGACTGCGGTCTTCTGTGGTGAATCAGCCAATCCTCGTGCAACTCGTGCAGTTCCTCAAGGTACTTAAGTGGTACACAGCTTTCCTCGGATCGAGCACGCTGTCGGATTCGCTCGTGAGCCACCTCTGGTGAAGTGCGTAAGTAGATGATAAGGTCCGCCTGCACGTGTATGGACTCTTCGATGAACTTGTACCACTCCTCGAGCGTGTTAAACATGCCCTCCTCCAGGGAGCCATTCCTTCTCATGTTCTCCACAAAGCAGTAGCTATAACAAAGGAATGAAATTTTTGGCATTGTGGTCAAACCGGAAAAGGGGACATTGCACTTACCGCGCGCTAAAAATGGATCGCTCCATTATTTTTAGCTTCTTGTCGGTAGGCGCGGTGTGCGACTGCAACATGGTCAGCGTGACATAACTCTGAAAGGGCATGGCCCACTTCTTGGGGTCCTTGTACATCAGCTCCAGCAGATTGACCCCGTTGACGTTGCGCCACTTCTCGACGGGTTCGGTCAGCAGGCAGATGTCGTCCCTGTACTTCTCGAAATGGTTCAGATAGGTGGTCTTCCCGCTGCCGATGTTGCCCTCAATGAGGACCGTGAAGGGCTGGGTTCCCTCAGCATATTTGCGACCCTGCCGGGCACTCGATGCTGCCGCCGCCATCAGTCCGGATAAGCTGCGATCTGCACGTGAAATCGGGTGAGTACGGATTAGATTTTATCAGTCTCGATCGGGTCGGGGTGGGATCTTCCGTATTCAATGGAGTACTGTACACGGCGGCGGGAGAACTTGGACTGAAACAGCCCGAAAGAGGCAGTTTACCGCCGAAAACTCAAAAGAGCGGGAACAACCGCCATTTGCTTTTTTTTTTTGATTTCGTTCGTCATGTTTGTTTTTGTCAAGCGGCTGATCAGTGATCAGTAACAGTTCGGGTGTGTGTGCGCATTACCGGCACAATTTGATTTTTTATGCACAAACTTTACTTTTAAACTGAGTTCAATTACCTATGAATGTTATGACCTCCCTTCTCCACATATCCTTGCCAGAAGAGATTTTGTATTTAAGTTCCCCAGTTCGCAGATACTCAAATAATTCTATATTTTTTAAACGCAATTGCTTAAAATATTTCTTACTAAATTTCACAATACGACTTTTTCGCTGACCATCAGCTGTTCGCGATAACAACAATGGCCAGCTGTTTTGGTAAAAGTTATCGGCCGTTTTGCCATCCCTAAGAAGACGCATTTTTTATCAATATTATTGTAAAATTTTAAAAACTTGAATAAAAACTTCATATAAGAGGCACTTTTACAAGGGAACTTGATCAACAATGTCCATAGAAATCGAATCAGCTGAGTAAGTAATGAATATGCTTTATGGTCAAGAAGTTTTGGCTAATTCCGTTTATCTTTACTTAAAGTGTGATCCGGCTTATCCAGCAGTATTTAAAGGAGTCAAACTTGATGAAAACCCTGCAAACGTTACAGGTTAGTAATAATACCCACGCAAATATAAAAATTAACTGATTTATGGTTTCTGATTTCAGGAGGAAACGGGTGTTTCCTTAAACACAGTAGACAGCGTAGATGGCTTTGTGCAGGACATCTCCAATGGGCATTGGGACACCGTGTTGAAAGTGACCCAATCTCTCAAGTTACCGGATAAGAAGCTGCTTAATCTTTACGAACAGATCGTACTGGAGCTGATTGAACTGAGGGAATTGGGTGCAGCCAGGTCCTTGCTTCGTCAAACGGATCCCATGAGCATGTTAAAACAGCAGGAACCAGAGCGATACATTCATTTGGGTAAGATTTAGAGCACACTACCATACATATCCTAATATCCACCTTTTCTTATTTAGAAAACATGCTGCAGCGCGCCTATTTTGATCCCAGAGAAGCCTACGCGGAGGGCAGCAGCAAAGAGAAACGGAGAACGGCCATTGCCCAGGAACTGAGTGGCGAGGTGCATGTGGTGCCCTCCTCCAGGCTATTGGCCCTTCTCGGACAGGCCTTGAAATGGCAGCAGCACCAGGGACTGCTCCCGCCCGGCACCACCATCGATTTGTTCCGCGGCAAGGCGGCTATGAAGGACCAGGAAAAGGAAATGTATCCCACCCAGTTGTTCAGGCAAATCAAATTTGGCCAGAAATCTCACGTTGAGTGCGCCCAGTTCTCTCCTGATGGTCAGTACCTGATCACGGGGAGTGTGGATGGCTTTTTGAGGTGTGGAACTTTACCACTGGCAAAGTTAGAAAGGATCTTAAATACCAGGCGCAGGATCAGTTCATGATGATGGAGCAGGCTGTGTTGGCATTGAACTTCTCTCGCGACTCGGAAATGGTTGCCTCCGGAGCCCAAGATGGCCAGATCAAAGTGTGGCGAATCATCACCGGTCAGTGTCTGCGGAAGTTCGAGAAAGCGCACACCAAGGGAATAACCTGCCTGCAGTTTTCTCGTGATAACAGTCAGGTGCTTAGTGCATCCTTTGATTATACGGTGCGACTGCATGGACTGAAGTCCGGAAAGATGCTAAAAGAATTCAAGGGCCATTCATCCTTTGTGAACGAAGCCACCTTTACGCCGGACGGTCACAGCGTGCTAAGCGCCTCTTCTGACGGCACAGTAAAGGTGTGGTCCCTCAAAACTACCGAGTGCGTGGCCACCTACAAGCCGCTTGGCAATGAGTTGGCCGTTAACACCGTCCTCATCCTGCCAAAGAATCCCGAGCACTTCATAGTCTGCAATAGATCCAACACGGTGGTCATTATGAACATGCAGGGCCAGATTGTGCGATCGTTCTCGTCCGGTAAGCGCGAGGGAGGAGCCTTCATTTCAGCCACTCTTTCGCCTCGAGGCGAGTTCATCTACTGCGCCGGCGAGGATCAGGTGCTGTACTGTTTCTCCGTATCGTCTGGCAAATTGGAACGTACTCTGAATGTAAGCAGTTATAATCAAACTTTCTAGACTGAGTCACCATAACAAATTTTTTAGGTTCATGAGAAGGACGTCATTGGTCTGACCCATCATCCGCATCAGAATCTGCTTGCTAGCTATAGTGAGGATGGCCTGCTGAAGCTGTGGAAGCCCTAGATCATATAAGCAATTGACTTACACACCTAGTTTTAGTTGGCAGTCTCAGTTGAGCTACCAAAATATACCTACTGACCCCAAAGTACATGCAGTTTTTTCTCATGCCCTCTCCCGTTCTGGCACATCAATATCTTCAATCATGTCTATATGAAACAAATTGACTTTAATTAAGCATTATGCAAAGCGCCAGCCTCTCGGAGCGCTAATCCACAGAGTGTGCTTCAATTGCAGGCACTGCGCTTGAATTAGTATAACAGCGACACTCAGCCGGTTCACTTGCAATATGAAGAGCGACGAGATCATCGAGAAGATACGCCACAAGCTTAAGGAATCGGACCCGGCCCGACGTACCGTGGTCAACACCTTTCAGTTCAACTTTACCGATGCGGACGGCAATCTCATCAAGAGCATGGGTGAGTGAGGAGCTGGCCTTTTTGTGGGTCAAGCCGCCGTTGACCGTCTCATCGTAGTCTTTGATTTCAAAGCCCTGGACATCTACGAAGGGAGTGCGTCCGGTGCCGATGCTCAAGTTACCATTTCGGATGAGGATTTCTTTTTGGTGGGCACTAAGCAGAAGACTTTTCAGGAGGTTTTGCAGGAGGAGAAGGCCAAAATTGATGGCGATGAGGAAGCTATAAACAAAATGCTGGAAAAGTTTCGCATAAACTCCAAAAACTAGATAGGAATATGAAGTAAAATTGCATGCTTTTTGTTTTTTAGGTGATAGTAATCAAAGCTTCCCAATCATGTCTGCAATCCCAAAAAATAAAGGAACACTATTCATACCATATTGTTACTTACAGCGTTTTTTTTTTTTTTTATTTAATGGGAATTTTAATCATTTTTGTTTATTGTGAATATTTTATTATTGTGCAATCGAAAACAAAATTTAATTTAAACCATTAGTTCTTACAGAATGAACACAAATCAAGGCTTCCCCACTTAAATAAAAATAAAATATTACTAAATCAATTAGTTTTAGTATTCATTTATTTAATTACCTTTATTTATATTTAATGTTAACATGGAATTGTTTTTGTAGGTGTTTCCTTTTTAATTTGAAATTTTTGTTCTGCCTTTTATTATTCAACTATTTTGTTATTTGGATTCCCTTTATCTCTCTTTGGCAAACGGAGCCATTTTAGTGCCAATAAGTGCGCCCGAGATTCAGTTTCTCTGACTTCTGCTTCTTGATTTTGAAATTTGAAAACCGTCTCTCAATTTAAATGTGTTCGACTCTTTTCTTTGAGTGGCTTATTTATAGGTTTAATTGTAATTTTAACATTTGCTCATTTGGGGTGTTTTAATTTAACTTTGTGTTACTTTAGTAAACTTTTTAGTTTAGAACATTTTTGTTTTGGGATAGGTTTCTTTTGGGGACTTTCTTTTTTTCAAACATTTTTAGCTTTATGTTTTAGTACTATTTTTTCTTTAAATTTATGTTTAATTTTTATTGCTAGAACACAAATTTAGAGTTTTTATTAACTAATTGAATTCTTTGCTTCTGGGTTTTCTTTTCGGTTTTAAATACAACAACAAAATTTGTACACTTAAACTAAAGTTTATTTTTAAGAATTAATTCCTAGGAGTTACTTGATCATTATGCTTTTTTATGCAACAATTTAACAACGTTTTACTTCATCAATGTAATTGTATTTATTTTGGCTTTATTTATCTTTTTTATTTAATTAGTGTAGCTTTTTGTAACACCTACATACGTTTATTATAAATGTTTTTACGTTAAACGGGTTTAAGTTTCCATCGCTGATTTAAGCCATATTCATTAATTTTTTCAGTTTTCTTTTGCAAAACGTACGTGCGCTATGAAACCAATAATTATTATTTGTTTTTCCAAATTGTAAAGAATTTATCATTTGACTCCAAAACGGAGGAAACTGATATGAACTTAAACAATCTTAAAATTCACAATGGTTTTGCATATGTATAAATGTGGTAAAGTAAAAAAAAAAATAATAAACACAACGGCAACTCAATTCAATATTTGGATTCTTTGTGTTTAGATTCTTGTTTTTAGCTTCTTGTATAATTTACTTTATTATTATCGTTCCCTTTAGCGTATACATTTTTATAAATATTCTTGTTCGCCTTAAATGTTTATAAAAATGTGCTTAAATAGACAAAAATCTTTGAATTTATTTTCTTTCCATTTCTCGCTTTTGTTTTCCATATTCAGGGCCGCTAATTTATTAAATGTCCTCTTTTATTTTCATATAAACTTTTCGATTTAGCGTCATTTAACTCTTTGCTTTTATTCTTTGCTGGAAGATACAGTTTTGATAGTCACTAATTCTTTTATTTATGCATTATTTCTTCGTCTCCTTTTTGTTGTTGTATGTTTGATTTGTGTAGCCTCAAGGGTCGAAGATTTTTTTGTACAAAATGTGTAAATAAAAAGTCATGCGCGTATGTAAAGGTAGTTAATTATTATTGTTTTATGCCCTTTAGTATGTTGCTGCCGTTATTCGTTATCGGTTTATCTATCGGTTTGCGAATGTGTGTATTGATTTATTAACGATTACGTTCTTCGTTCCCTCTGTTGTATAATTAATTCAATTTATGCTTCACCTAAATATTACTCGTATCAAATATAAAAATCAACAACTTTATTTTATTCTTCGTCTTGTCTGCGGTCTCTTGTGGCTATGAAAATGATTCGTACTTGCACTTCCGCCTGCTACTGTTTCTGGCTCGTTTCCGGTTCCGCTGCACGGATTCCACTCCTTGCTTTTTACACATCCTGTGCTTTTTGTGCGCCCTTCCTCCATTCCGCTGTACGTATTTCGCTATGTGTATAATATAGTTATTAAATGTAGCTATTATTTGTTTCTTATTCCTCCATCATGCCTTACTTATGTGAAACGCTTCTGGCTAATCGAGTTATCGCCACTACAATATGCTCGCCCTACTGTACTTATTTAGCTTCGCTTTCGCTTACTCCACCTAAAATGCCTACTAACCTTTCCGTTTCGCTCGTTATTAAATTTATGTCTTAATCAATTCGCATTTTTGCATAATTTCTTGTCTTTAGGTATTGTTAACTTTTGAATTTCTGTTTCTGTTCTCCTCTCGGGTTTTACTGTATCTGTGTGTCATCCTTTGTCTGCGTGTCAGTATGCGTTGTGTGGGAGTTCTGTGTAATCTACTGCTCTTGCTCTGCAAAGTTGCTTTGTTCGCCATTACCTAGTTAGCCTTAGTCTAAATGCGTTTTAAAACCGAAACTGAAGGTTGCGATAAAAGTGCCTAAAACTGCGTCGAACCATCGTTAGACGTTCGCCATTTGGTTGACATGATCGATGTTGTCCTCATCGAAGTGCACATCATTGATGAAAATGTCTGCGTCCAGCTGGTCCTCGTCGAGCTCCAGATCGTCCTCGTCGTCCTCCCCGTTCGACATCAGTCCGTGTCCCATGCCCATCCCCATTCCCATGTCCACGCCGGCGATGCAGATGTGGGGCGGCGGCGGTACGCTGGTGGGCGGCAGTGGGGCGGGCGGTATCATCAGGTTGCCGCTGTTGATCCCATGCAAGCTGCCCGCGATACTCGCACCACCACTCTGCAAATGCCTGCGACTGGAGCTCAGACCGGCTGCTCAATTTAAGAAGGGAAACCATTATTACTTACAAAATACATAGTTCATGATTCAGTTTTATATATAAATAATTCTTATTTAACTGCTCCCTTATAAAAAAGCTGTACTTTAAAGAAAAACATCAATGAATTTACTTATAGATTGAAAAACTGTGAATATAAATCCGAAATCAATTTTTAGTTAAACAATGCATTTGTTTCTGTTATGTTTTAAAACTAAATAAAAAATAAGAAAACAAATAAGAAACAGTTGTAAAAATACATAAATAAAAAAAAAATAAATAAAAAATCTTACCTTGAACAAAATTAAATAAAACCAACTCAGAGAAAACCTATAAAAAGCATAAACAAAAATCGTACAAATCAAGAAAATATATCATTAGAGGACTCACCTGTTGCACTGGTCTGCGAGTCGTAATGTGCATTCCGATGGAGGCCCAATTGGCGGACATGGTTCCTACGGTTTCTTCTGGAGTGACAGAGTATGCATAGGAGACAGATTAGGGACGAGACGACGAGAAGCGTTATTATAATTAGGACGTCGTAGTCCTCCTCGGCCGCTTCCGTGGTACCTGATTTGAATCAATAAATTGGGAGGGGAGAGCAAGAGCACAGGACAACAAATTAATCAATGATTAAATAATCATTATGATTAAGAAGATGGTCTATAGTTAGGAATGTGTGTTGATCTCTAGTTAGCTGAGATTTTCGAGAGTGTGTCATGTGGGTGAGTCTGAACTTGATGTTCTTGTTCTGTGTGCTGTGGTTTCCATTTCTTTTTGGCTTTTTAGGTGGGTTTCACAAGTTTAGCATATCAATAGATTTAGGCTTGGGCGGTTTAGAATATTCAGTTCAGTTAATCAAAGGCACCAGGAAGATAAATGTACTATATACATCTGCTAGATGCGGTGCGCATGACAAGTGGGGGAAAGGTGCGGAACACAAAGAAGCCAGAACCAAAAAGACGAAGGCATGCTCATAAACTCAACACCCAAAATGCGATTAAGGTGAACTCAAAGATGCAACAAAGGAGAAACTCGGGATGGTCGTATTTTCATTGGGCTGTGAACTGTGATCTCCTTGTTCTGTGACGATCTACGGGTTTTCGGGTTTTGGGGGTTCGGGGTTTGATCTCTAGATCGGGTGACATGTATCTGGTTTGAACTCTGTGCATGTCATGAGCGTGGAGTGTTGATTGTAGACAAGCTTATGCAGAACTCACGTGTTAATTGTTAATTGTGACCAAAGAGTTTCTTTTTTACTTAAGTATTAGAGTTAATATTTTTGGTTTGGTTGCTTCGTTTGGTTTGGTTGTTAGAAAAATGAGTACAAATTCTTGCTAGCAGAATGCTCCATTCATGCTATGTTAATTTGTTATCTTAGTTATGTTTCACGTTTTTGATTCTCGTGGCAATTCCAATTTCGATTTTAAAATTTTGATTTTTCGAGTTTCGTTCTCTCAGGAGTTTGTTTAACTTTAGTTGTACGTATTGAACACTAATGCCATAATTGCTAAAACAAATGTCTGTAGAAATGTGGGCAAATGCGTGGAGTTTGCGTCACCTGTGCCAAGGGTTAGGATTTTTGTTTGATTTTAGCAATTTGAAGTTCGAGGAGGGGAATTTATTTTGTTAATACAGTTTCACAGTCGAACAGTTTGTAGTTGGTAGTGGTTTTAGTTTGTTAGTGGAGACAAAAGAAAGAACAGAGAGAAACAGAGGGAGAATTAGACAAGTAGAGAGAGAAAGAGAGAAAGATGAGTTTAGTGTGGGCGTGGCTGTAGACATCCCCCAGATGATATATGATATGATATCTGGGTCTGTCAGTGTACTGAATGCCATTCGCGGTGAGAGTGTGAAAATACTGAGAAATCGGGTGAGAGATATAGAAATGCAGTGGTGAAGCTCGGGTGGGTGGAACTCAAGGGATGGGTTTAGTGGAGCACCCTAGACTATCGAAAAAGGTATGTACAAAAGTCTGGCCATCGAAAGGAGGAAAAAAAAATTAACTATTTAAGGTTGAGGACAACATACGAATACTTAGGTGCAAAAAGACTTAGCAAGAAGTACAGGATATAGTTTCAGGTGGGCCCCTCAGCGGGCACATTAGTTAGTTAGTATTTAGATTAGTTATGAATTAGTATTATAGTTGGTATATTTAGTGGTTAACGTTTTGCAAGTGTTTCGTCGGGTTCAAGTTTTCTTCACGCATCAAATGAAAAGTGTAAGGAACGCAAGATCGCACATGATCGGTACATTGTAACCGTGGAAAACCAAGGGAAATTAAAGTGGAAACTGAATGGCTTGCCCCACAGCGGACGCACTGGAAACACAAACACGAGACAAACTTAAGATACTCGTTACGTAAACTTAGGCAAAAGAAGGCAAATAAAAATTGAACTGAACCGTTCGACTCACTCACGACTCACAGTGCAATTCGTCAGTGTCGTCGCCGGGTCCGCAGTTCTTGACCCCGTCGCATCGCAGCTTGTCGGAGATGCAGTATCCCGCTCCGCACTGGAAGTGGTACGTGGACTCGCAGTGCAGACCCACGGACGGCGGACCCGGCCCGGAGTCCTGTATCTCGGTCCACACAATGCGGAAGCCCTATTAAATAAGTGGTTAAAGATTAGGTTCTTTAAAGATTCTTTTCCTAATTATAATGACTCACCTGGGCACCCACTGTCTTGTCGCTGGTGGTGAAGCTGATGCGCGCCGTCTGCCCGGTGGAGGTGTAGTGCCACTGCTCCACGGGCGGCTTCTCGCCGCAGAGCTCCATCGGCGGCTGGTCGGAGTCCACGTTCATCCACAGCCGCAGCACGGCAGCGGGACAACCGCGATCTGGGGGAGGAATAATGAATATAAACACAAGGAAAACAGAAGGAATTATGTGAATATCATCCTTTAAAAATAAACACCTTTTTGCTTTCACAACGCAATAAAACCAATAAATTCTATTCAACTTACTGGCTGGGTCTCCTTCCAGGCCGAACTGCTCAAAGTGAATGGACAGCTTGTAGCCGGGACGGGCCTTCATCACCCAGTTGCAGGCGTTGGAGGCCATGCCCCTGCCGGGCGCCTTGTAGCCCGCCGGCCAGTTGGGCGAGGTGATGAGCCCCGAGTCCTGGTTGCTGAAGTTGCCGCCGCAGTCGCCGGCATCCGACTTGGCCGACTCGAAGAAGTAGCGGGCCTTGAAGCCGCTGGCCACGCTCTCCTGGTCCGTGTGCAGGGTGATCCGCAGCCCCACCGCTCCCCGCGGGCTCTCGACGGGTCCGGGGGCTGTCTGACCGCAGTAGCGTCCCAGCAGGCGGTCGTTGTTGTCCCGGTAGACGACGTACATCTCCAGCCAGTCCTCGAAGCAGGCACCAGAGCTTTAAATATAAAATTGATTAAAATAACTAACTTAAAAGTGAATTTTTCTCCACTAACCCGTAAGCTCCCGCCGTGGCATTTGCATTGTTGTCCGCCTTGATCTTGAAGTGATCGAAAACAATGGTCACCTGCTCATCCGCCTCGGCCAAGAAAAGGTAAGAGCAGTTCGTGTCCGAAGGATAATTGGAGGGGTACCGCGGACTGTTCAGTTCGCCGCGCTTCTTCGAGCTGCTCACATAGGTAAAGCTGCAGGTTCCGTCCGGAGCCGCCGTTCCCGGAATTTTGTACTCCGTCTCGAAGGTGTACTTGCCCTTGAAGCCACGCCCCTGCAACTCCCCCGAACTGAACACCATGGCCAGCCGAGGACCCTCGCTAATCACACGCTGTGTCTCGTTGCCGCACAACTCGTAGTCAAACTTATCGTAGGCATCGGCCGTCTCCTGGCCCTTCAGATAGATCTTTAGATAGCCGTCCGTGCAGTTGGACCTTTGCATTAAAAGTATATTAGTAAATTAGAATTTAAAGGAATATAAGATTCTTATGCTTTTAAGTACCAATGGTTTACATTTTTAAGATATAAGTTTAATTTAAAGTTTATAAAGTTTTAAAATCAATGATTTCTTTGCAAATGATTATTATCAACGTTCGTAAAAGTTTTTTCTTATTTAACTTAGCTTAGCTTTCATATCTATTTACATTTTTTTTTTATTTTAAATAGTTTTTAATTGCTTATATTTGTTATTATTGTGGTGAATAGTTCTTTATTATTCAATTAAACTCACTCGCTCTTGTCTTTGTGCTCCACCTTGGGTATATTGAAAGCGTTAAACTCGAGACGTACACGCTCCAGATGCTGGGCATCCTGCATGCCATAGATGAAATATCTAAATGGTAATCAAAACATTTAAATATCTATCCAATTAAAACCAGCAGATTAAGAAGATTGCACTTACCTACACACAGTTTTTGGTATATAGGGATAGGGATAGTTTGGTGAGAGCACAAAGCCAGTGGATTCCTTCTTCGATAAAATCTTTTGATCACATTCTGAGCCACGTATGTGAATGCCATCATTTTCACCTGATGTACGCATTTTCATTACAATTTATAGTTGCATTTTTGTAGCGAATAATTGGTGGTAATTTCGATAGAGCAGTCAGATCAGGTCGAATTGAAGAGTAGATCGGAAATCACCAGATAGCGTAGAAATAGTTTTTTGGTTTTCGAAGTAGAGAGAAAGTGTGGAAAGGTTAGAATTTTGTAGAGTGTCAATGGGTAGGTAAATTGAAATTCAAATAGCACACAAAACGAACAAAGCCAGTGAAAGGTTGGTTCAAGCACATACAATTAGCTGATAAATGCTATTCGCTTTGGCAAACATTTTGTGGCGCCACAATAAGTAGGCAACATTTTTACAGAGAACCTTTTTAGCGCACCACAAAATGTTTGCGGGGGGATTGGCATAACTGAAACGACATACAAATTGTTTACAATAAAGTTGTTCGGCAATACTTACGTATAAAATCTAATTTAACAAAACTCTCGCTAAATTCATAAATTCCTTTAAAGCCACGATTTTGGGTATTTGCGGTGCGCGATAACGTATAAAAATGAACAAAAAGGCTCGACTCGCTCGAATACAAAACTAAGTTTCTTTGCTGCCCGCAATATGTACCGATTAATGCTGACGAATTATCTGGACCATCGTACACTTTCACATAGTCAAATGGGCAGCTGTTTTTCAGTAGTTGTTCATGATGTGGATTGTGGTTGTTGAAATTTTGTTGTAGACAAATTGCAGATTGGGATAGCAGATTGGATAGAGAAGAGTTGGTTTTTAGAGACATTCGAATGAGAGTAAATTTGGTCTAGATAGGTCACAGATTGAGAGTGTTGGCTGCCAACCAGAGCAAGTTTCGACCAATAAAAAAGCGGACAAAACTTGCTTTGATCTTGACTTGTTACCGGTAGTGTGGGTGTGTGTGTTTGGGTGTTTCAGTGTGTTTCTCAGTGTTCTGTGTTAATTGTGCAGCATTAGAGGTACTCACTGTGGTCCACCAAAAAATAGATCAAAATCACGAAACTCTAATCTAACCCTCTGATTCGATTCACCAAGAAATTGATATGTGCATGACATATCCTTCGGATAGGCACCTGGATAGGTTGGCGATATGAGCGCGCCAGTTTTGTTGACGCTCATGCTGGGCGTTATCGTGTAGGAACATGGCGACCCCGCAATGGGAATGCCAATTTCATATTCCGCTTTTCGACGAAATCACACAATAGAGAGTCAGTATTGAAGGAAGAATGTTATACTTTCACTTGGTTGCTACTCACATGCATTTATAAACCTAAACGTGCCCTCGAACAGGTCCGTGGTCACGTTCTTGTTGCTAAAAAAAGAAATCGCAACTGCCCGGTACATGGAAATGCGACGACGCGGCGGAATGGTGCCGCAGTAGCGGCCTCCGAATGGCGAGTTGATCAGTTCCGCCGGCTCCGACGACTGCACCTCCGAGTAGATATCCATGTACTCATGAACACAACTGCGGGGAGAAAAGAATATGAAATTTAAGTTTAAGTAGGTTTTCTTATAACAAGCTTCTAAGACAAAAAACATTTTTATAATATATAAGGTTCAAAAAACAATGTATATCAGAGATTTCATTTACTCCTTTACATCCATCGACACATAAATTTAAGAAGTATTAAATATAATGTAAATTAAAATAAACTAAGAACGGATTGAATGTTTACATATAAAATATACAAAATGAAATAATGAAAATATTTTCCAATCATGTTTTCATGTATGGTATCTTCCGTACTACAAAAGTTAAAGTTAATATTTACCTTGGTAATTCACCGACGGCCGAACCGCTGCAAAAAGGGAAAAGGGAGAAGAAGTTGAAGCAAAGTTAGTTCCTGGTAAGCAGCAAAAACAAATAGCCTTCTGGCACTGGCACTCACTCTGGTGGACTTCCTCTTAAATTAAACGATTTAAAAACTACTTCGACACGCTGACCAGGTCCTGCTAAGAAGGTGTAGAGGCATTGGCGCGAGTGATTGCGATGGTTGTGCAGCAGCGGAGCCGAGAAGCTGCCGTTCTGGGGTCCGCCGATCCGCGACACGAATGTCTGATCACACTCTGTGGAAAGGAGGAAAAGAGAGGGAGAGAGCGGCAGGCGGTTCCGCCATCGATAAGTTTTAGGATCTACTTTGTGGCCACTGGTTAGACATAGACACACACAGCAATACAGAACACATACACAGAACGTAGCATCGGAACAAGAGCTGTTAACAAGGCATCTCAATGTGTGGGTGTGTATGGCTTTGTGTGCACAGAGAAAAATATTATCAAATTTATGATGACTTCGTTTTAAGGAAAGTCGAATTTAAATCTCAAAATATCAGGATGGTCTTCAAAGCATATCAAAATGAGGTGTCAAAGTTAGTATTTAAATTTTTCATCTATTCTTATTGTCCTACACTTATACGTATATTTGAACTGATTATGTTTTACTGGTGTAGAAGTTTATACTTCTTTATATGTTAAAAGAAAACGTAAGATTTTTTTATGTGTGTAATAATTTGGACTTTGCTTTTTAACATGGGTAAGTAAACAAAGCTGTATATCTATTGCAATCAAACAGATTAGATAGCTCATTAACATTTAATACACTTTAGCGCCAAGCTGATATGATGGGATAATTTTGATGGCCAACAACTGATATGGGATAATTTAGATAACGTTATGATTTCTTCTCTGCTTGGTGTTCGTTTCTCATTCGATGTTGTGTACAACTAGTAAGCGTTTTTGATTGGTCAACTAGGGCAACTGGAACTACGGGTGGACACTAAAACGTAACTGTAACTACGGGCACTCACACACCAAAAACAAACACACACACACTCTAGCGGCCCAAGGTGTACGCACACACACACACACACCCACACTCAGGCAACGTAACATCGAGAACGGGGAGGTGAGAGTGTGTGAGCGTGTGTGTGTGGGTGGGAGGGAGAGAGAGAGGTAGAGAGGGGAAGAGAGAAAGAGTGAGATGGCGCCACCTACTTGGCGATTTCGTGGGCCGCGACGACACCTCCAAATAGGCCAAAACCGGCTGCATCCAAGGCTCCCCATCAACGACGTTCGACTTTAAATGAGCACCGCCTTCGACGGCGGGTGGTGGTGGTGGTGTTGGTGGGTGGTGGGTGGTCGGGCAGTGTTTTCGAGGGGGTGGGTTGGAAACGGGGAGGGGTAGACAAATACACAGCGTTAATGATTTCGATTTGCATGGGATTGGAATACTGCTCTAATTCAGTCACAACTTGACACCCAACACGGAAATGCGCTTCCCGACTTTATGACAACCTGTCCGTTTGTCTGTCTTTCTGTCCATTTGTTTGTTTGCCCGCACGCTCCGCTCTTCACCTATCTATCAACCTCACTTTCGCTTTTGGAGTGGGCCCAGCGATAACAGTATCCCCTAATAGTGCAGCTGGCAAAAGGAAATTCATGTACCCAACGTGTGCTGGCAGCCAGGGCGTATACGCAACGTTCGTTAGGAGTGCCTGTTTGTGTGCGCCAAAGCCAGCGGAAATTATTAAGAGCTTTCTAAAACATACATACACACACTCGTACACTCGACTGCATTGTTCAAGGTGATTTGAGCAGCAGCCGTTTCCATTTACTTACAAAGCCCGATAAGCCTTTTATTAGAGCTCCTCGTACAGAAGCACCAAAGTGTTACATTTTTAATTAACTCTTTATGGAAATTAGTACTGTAACGGAAGGCTTCCTAGAAATTCCCGCCCTTTAGATTGAGAAATAAAATCGAACTTCTTCGGTTTCAACTGGCTCAACTTAAAATGTTTGGAATGCCATCACAAACTGAAGCCAAAGGGTTTAAAGACATAAAACTTCCGCAAGTCGAACAAAAGTTCTGACAAGAAAAGTAAAGTCCAGACTAGAAAACTTTATGGTGCTGTGCAGCGAAGGGATGCTCTTTTTGTAAGGCTATTTATTTTGAATTTTCGTTTGGTAAATACTTTTTCTTAGCCCTGTTATTTAAGGTACAAATTGTTATGAAGAAGTGATTAGTTTCTCCCAAACTTTTTTAAGCTTTTTAAGCAAGGCGAAACCCTTTTGAGTCCCCATTTTGATTGAACCCAGTTGCTCAAAACTGACAGCTTCGAATTACACATAAATGGCTGGCGCTTCGGTTAGAAATTAACCGACGCCTTGTGGGCTTCGCTTGTAATTAAATTCGTTTTGAAGCACATAATAAATGAGTTGGCCGGGATGTGTTTGATGTTTCGGGTAGAAGGTCGGTCTGGGTTTCAGGCCATGCTTTGTGTTGGCTTTTGCGGGCAGCGCAGTTGCAGCTGCGGTCTAATGTTGCCGAAACTGTAGTTTGGGCGGAAATCAAATGCGGAAAACTACTTGGATAAGTGCCGGCCTCGAAATTAACCGGCTAAACGGTTTGCCTATTGATTTTGTGATGTTAGCACCGAATTCCACGTCAACAATGTGTTGGCCAAAGCCCCAACTAAGCCGTTTACATAATTTCCACTTAATTATTCACGCAACCAAATAGAATCCCTTTAGGCAAGCGATCCGGGCGATTATCCCCCGCTTACCGCCTCTGTGTTCTGTGAGAACGGGTATTTTAAATTAATTTTCCAAAACCCCACACACCCACACACACGCACACACAGAAGGGACACTTTATCTGAAATGCAGTTTACTAAACAGCAAATAAATGGCGCACGAGCAAAAAGTTTGCTCATTAAAATGTGAGCGGATTTGTGTGGCCCACACATCCAACTTTCGCTCAAACACACAAACACACGTTGCGTGCATCGACATAAGCACCGCGTGTTAAAAAAAATATATAAAAGAACCCTTTAGGGAAGTTCGTACACAATAAAATACCCTGCTTTAAAATATATTGCTCATAGTTGAGGGCCTTGATGTGTGCAATATATTTTGTGTTTTTAATTTGTTACTGAAGTGGGCTATGCGGTATTTCTTTTGAAATCTGAGTTGAGGATCGTATAATTCCAAAAAATTTAGATAATATTTAAATTGCTAAGAAACACAATTTACAAATTGTGGCACATAATTCATACTGATTTATGGCTTATCAACCACAAAACTAATACTTAACTTATTCAAAGATCTAATTTGCGGTTTTGCGTATATTATTCTCTTTTCACGAACATCCTTTTCTGCACCCTTGTTATCCTTGCCTATAGGGCTTAAAAGCTAGGGGCGTGGCCGTGACGATGGGCGTAGCAATGTCAACCGCAGTGCCAAACGCTTGCGAACGGAAGCTGCACCACTCCCCCCGCCTCCGTCAGCTTGCACCACCTGCACCACTCCCCTTGGAATCACCCACCGCCCCCTTTTCGCACCGCAATGACAATGCGCAGTAAAGTGTCAATAAATTTTATGCAGACGCCATTTGCATTGCCATAAATATTTTTGTTGTGTTCGGCAACGGTTTGCACTTCTGCTCTGGCATTTGTTTTCTTGCCATCAAAATCCCCGTTCTTCCCCCGTTGCCCCTGTCATTATGTTAATTTACACCTTTTGTTGGCTGCGCCTCAGTTTCAATGCCAACCTGCCCGAACAAAGCCTGCACAATGCTGCAGCTTTTAATTGCGTGCCGTAAAAACTAACTGAAGCAATGAAAAGCTGCTAAATGGCAGCAGCCATTCCATTGGGCAAACAAGTTGCCTGCTAAATATATTTACCGTTTTGCGAACAGGTGTAATTGGGGAGGCGGTGGGCGGTGGGCGGTGCTCGGTGGTCTGGACACCTCGGCCTTGCGGTCTGGAGCAAATAGCACCCCAAGGATGCGTGTCACTAAATGCTCCCGAACCCAAAACCGAAACCGAGACGCATAATGATGCCGATGACGAAAACGTTCCCCAGGAGGCACGTAATACCTCTAATAACCCGGCAGACACTCACACACACACACACACACACAGTTAGCCAGGCGACAATCAAGTGGAAGGGAATACTCCTTGGATTCTCCAGAATTTAATAATCCTGAACGGAATTGTCGCAACAGTGAACTATTTGCACACAGAGGGAAATAGGTGCCTACATTCTTTGTGATTTAGAAGCTCCAGAAGATCCAATTTAAGTTTTAATTAATTTTGTAGAATTTAACATTTATATAAGAAATTGACGAAAGAAACATATGCATTTTTAAACCTTTTTTCTCTGCATGTGTGTAGTTCATCTTCTGTTTATCCACTGCACATTTTCACTTACTCATCAACTTGGGCTAAGTAAAACTTAAACCCTTATATACTAACTTTTTTGAGTGAGTTTAGTGAAACTTTTTGAACTTTAGTTTAGTTATGGGAAAACTATAATAGTAACTTGAGGCGTACGTTCGAGTTGCTTTCCGAATCAAGACTTCCGTTATTGGGTAATTCCATTGCGACACTTTTGTCGCCCTTCAGCGCATATAATCTTTAGTGGCTCTGTCTGTCTGAGGCCTCCTTTCCCCCTCAAATCCTCATTTCCCCCACCTGATCCTGCCTCCTGCTGCTGTCTGCCTGCGTTTCCTGCTCGAGTACACACTTCTTGAAAATTTAATGGCTGCCACTGCTGTTGGCACTTTCATTGCCACCCGCTGTGTCCTCAGTCGTCCCCCATTTACCCAAAAGCCACCCAACCACAGACCCATTCTACGCTGCCATTCCCATTCCCTCGCCTGCCCCGAAATTCCCTTCGTCACCTCCGTGGAGGAGCTCATGTTACAGACAATTTGCGTTAAATTTACAAGTAACACCGTTCGCCAAATACCAGGTCCAAAACCAGAGACGGCACAGCGCCTTATGTTGTTTTATTGGTGCCCGGCATGCTGTTCTGATACAGCCACTGCCACGGATTCCTGCCGGGCTCACTGAGAGAAAATACTACCGAAAGACTGGCGAAAGTGACAGGCTGAGCCGTTCAATGTTTTATTAGGCCTCTCTGATTTGACAGTTTTTATTTCTGACAAGGTCCTTTCTCTATTTTCGCTTGTCATGCCAGAAATTTCTTGTTGTTTCACTTCGAAACATATTGTGTGTTAGGTACTTTTAAGGAGGACAGCAAATAATTGCTTGTTATTTTTGGCA